GCTAAACTTAGCGCATCAAACAGCACTCTGGCGCTGACCATAACGCACCGGTGGAGTGTCGGTGGTTCGATGCCTCCAAGTGAGGCTGTACCGGTACTTATACCGGTGGGGCAGAGGCCGGCCTCAATGCTGCGAGGCCTGGCCATGCCCTGAACCGTCCAGATGGATGGTTCAGCCCCAACCGGAGGGCGACAGCCTCAAGAGCGCCGCCAGGTCCAAACGATAATGCCGTTTGGGCCTGCTCGTCGGGTACTGGTCCAAGATCAGACCTTTAGGGCCTGTAATACCCCAAGGTCGGGCCTTTAGGCCCTTATGTGTCCTTCCGGCCCTACGTCGGGTCCGGTAGGACCGGTGTCCGTCGAAGACGTAACACAGGCCCACCGGAGGTCCGCTACACGATCCCCGGCCTACGATGGATCGCCTGGATACAAGCACGCTTTCGCCAAGAAGCGGAACTCTACCAAAGAACAGAAAACCTGAGTAGTCTAGGATGCGGAGCAAGCTCCATGCTGAGTCCATGCGATGCAGCCTAGGATATAAAATGTCACAAAACAACAATGTCACAGCTAACAGCCTAAGTGAAAGCAGAAGCAACTAACTAACATACATGTCCTAGGAAAGCAAAAGCAACTAACTAGCATACATGTCCTAGGAAAGCAAAAGCAACTAACTAGCATACATGTCCTAGGAAAGCAGAAAGTAGTGACAACTAGATCCTAGAATGTTGGAGGCACTAGCSKCAGTCTGGTAACAACTGACTAGTGTATAAGTCCTAAGAACAGCAAAAGCAGAACAACTAAATCCTAGAAATGTCAGAGGCAGTAGCCTCAGTCTGCGAGCAACAAAGCAACAATAAGTGTATCATATGTCACATGAGAAGTGTGTCGCAAACCAAAGGGTGGGATGGTCTCTGAGGGTGGCGAATGCAGCCTAGGGGTCGAAAACTCCTAAGGGCATCCACACATAGATAACAGGGAGACACATGTCATCAGGCTCAATGAGGGTAGGGAACTGAGAGCGAACAGAACCAATGACCCTAACAGATAGACCATCAGGGYGGGTAATGCTCGACTAAGGGGTGACCGCTATGGAGGGTCGACCATGCAAAGGAACAGGGGAGCCTGGTATACTGGCCGCACCTAGATGAAGCATGCGGGGCTTCCTAACTAGGGCGTGAGGGTCGGCGAAGGGTAGAAAGATGATGGGTGAGGGAATCATGCTAATGACTCCTAAAGTGAGGGAAGTCGGAGCTAGATCCGTAAGATGGGAAGCCAGGGCAACGCTACGGTCCCGATGCCTATGCGTATACCAAGGGAGAGCCCAACTTAGAGGAACCCGACTAAAGGGAGACCATCATGCGACACGAGCAGGGTACTGTACAGGGTAGAGTAGTAAGAGAGTGGCGACGTCTGAAGTAGGCAGAGCTGATCGTGATGAAGTCCATGAAGCTGCCGATGACGTCCACGATGAGAAGTCCGGAATGCCGTTGAGGAAGAGCCGCAACGTCCACGAGATGAAGTAGCAAAACTGATGTGGATGGAGTACTGAGAAGTCAAGGACGTGGGAAGGTAAGTCAGAGTCAATCGTCGTATCGAGCAGGATGACGACGAGTGCGATGTGGACGCTCAGAAGCATCCGGTTGCTGCTGAAGGTCTGCCTCAGATGGAGCAGGCTCGACTTCAACGGTCTCCTTTGCCGGAGGAGAAGGAGGAGGGTCAGTGGGCTGAGGAGGAGCAATGAACCCAGCACGACGAGCACGGTCATAGGCACCAACATGCGAGCGTGCTGCAAGTGCCCGAGGGGCTCCCAGGTAGCCTCCTCATTAGGGTAACCCTTCCAACGTACGAGATACTCGACGTGGGGAGGGTTGTCGTCGGTGACTCGACGACCAATGATGTCTGAAACGAGAAACTCCTCGTGACCGTCCACCATGATGGGTGGAGGGCGCTCGTATGGTCGTCCGGCGAAACGCTCAGACGGTCTGCGGTAAGGACGCAGTAACGAGACGTGGTAGACATCGTGCACACGAGTCTGGCGTAAGTAGTCGGGCAGCTTCACACGGAAGCTGACCGGGCTAGATGCCGTATCACAACCGACAGCCTGGAGGATGCGGCATGGGCCAAAAAAGCGACGCCGGAACTTGCGAAGCGTGTCCGCTTCGAGCTGTAAGTGGCGGGCGTCGATAAGCACATCATCACCGACTTTGAATGAATGATCCATCCTCGATCGGTTCGCATGTGCTGCCATGTGAGTCTGGGAAGCGGCTATGTGCTCATGTGCGGTCTTCATGATCGACGTCATGTGTGCAACCCAATCGTCCAGCGCGGGACAACTCGTGTCGGGGTGCAGCTGGGATGGTCGAAGGAAGTCCGCGGGAACACGAGGGTGATAGCCGAGGTCGCAATAGTATCCCCGTGGCTGGCGAGACGGCGTGGTTGTAGGCTATCTCTACGTGGGCAAGATGGAGATCCCACTGCTGGTCGTCACGAACAATCTTTCGGAGAATATCTCCGAGAGTCCTGTTGATAATCTCGGTCTGACCATCAGTCTGAGGATGGTAAGCCGAGGAGGAGCGGAGCTGAGTGCCATACATCTCGTGGAGCCGTCGCCAGAATCGGTTGGTAAAGCGCGGGTCACGGTCAGATATGATGCTCAGAGGTAAGCCGTGGTCACGCACGACTCGGTTAAACACGATGTCGGTGACCTCACGTGCACTGATAGCATAGCGGCACGGAACAAAGCGTGCACGCTTCATGAAGCGGTCGACGACGACCAGGATAGCATCATGACCGCGGGGGGTCGGAGGTCGAAGAGGACCGATAAAGTCCATCGAGATGGACTGTCAACGACCCTCAGGGATAGGAAGAGGCTGGAGCAAACCATAAGGCAGGTGGTTCGCACTGTTCACCTCCTGACAGGTGGGACACTCTGCAACGTAGTCCTTCACAAAGTCCTTGCGCTTCGGCCAGACGTATAGGCGGCTCACACAAGCCAACGTCTTGTGGAAACCCATATGACCGGCGGCTGCCTGGTCATGGAACTCTGCTACTGCTCGGACACGTAGCTGTCGAGTGGAGGGAACGCAAATACGGGGCTCTCTGGTGCCTTGTGAACCGTGCGAATACACGAGACCGTTGTCCCCGAGAGAGTAGTTCGGGACGGTCTTGCCACTCTGAAGGGTCGCGTGGATGTCGCGATAGTCAGGGCAGTGGCGGTACTGAGTGCGAAACTCGTCGATCAGCGAGTGGTGGACGGTGGTGACCGAGATGGAAGAGAGCTGGATCTGCTCTTGATCGTGGTCAGGGCGCCGGGATAAGGCATCTGCGACCCGGTTAGTCTCACACTTGATGTGCTCAGTGGTGAAACTAAACTCGGATAGGTCGCGCCACGAGCGAGCCTGTCAAGGAGTGAGCTTCGGTTTTGTCAGAAAAGCCTGGACAACAGAGTTGTCCGTATGCACCGTGAACGGTGCCCCATGTAGGTAGGGACGCAAGTGTCGAGCGAGATAAACTACTGCGAGAACCTCACGTTCATCGACAGTGTAGTTTATCTCGGTGGGCAGGAGATGACGTGAGTAGAAGGCTATCGGACAATCACCTGAGCGAGACTCGACAGTGCCGTCCTCGGCGATGGTAGGAGAATAGTCAATAGAAGGCTCATCAGTAGCTAGACAAGTAGGCATCAGTCGGGAAGCAGTGGTAGGGGTAGGTGGTGGGAAGTGAGGGATACGAGGATGAGAGGAATCAGGAGAGGAGGGGAAGACCTGAGAAAGCACTGCTCCTACAACAAAGTCTGACGCATCGGTGGTAAGGATAAAAGG